GCCCACCTTCCCTTGGGCGTAATCATTGCAATGTTGTGTTGTTAGCTGCTGTCCAGTCGATTCCGACTCATAGTGACCCCATGTGTGACCCTCCAATTTCCAATCTCTTTCCCTGAGAGCTTTCTCAGGCACACTGAGCCCCCTCTGCCTGTGCACAGCAGGTCAGAATACTGGAGTCTGAAAAGTAAGACTCCACCCCTTTCAATGACTGATGGCGATGGTTATAAATACCTCAGATCCCTTGTGCCTTGGACTGGAAACTTGGGGAACTTGGAGGTTCCTGTTTTCACTGGCTCCCAGAGTTCCTAAGAGTACAATCTAACTACCTATAGTGGGAAAGCCTACCTTTTATATATAACACTAGACTATGTAAAATTTAATTTAATTATACAGAAGGCTGGTGGTTCAAACCCACCAGCCACTCCTCGGAATGAAGATGGGACAATCTACTTCCGTAGTGATACTGCCTCGGAAACCCAAGGAGGGGTCTCTATGAGTCCGGTCTGACTCAATGGCACACAACAACAACAACATATATATTATATAATTTAATCAAATTAAATTTTACAATCTAGTGTTTTTGTTTTTTCTATTCAACAATTTAAGGAGCTCTGGTAGCACAGTGCCTAAGGCATTTGACTGCTAACCAGAAGGCTGGAGGTTCAAACCCACCAGCCATTCCTAGGAAAGAAGATGGGGCCATCTACTTCCATAGTGATACTGCCTCGGAAACCCAAGAAGGGGGCGCTATGAGTCGGATCCGATTTGACAGCACATAACAACAGTCAACAATTTATACACATTTTGCTACCGACATTGGTTGCAATCCCTTCCATGTAACAGCATTCTTCCCACTTCCTCCTCGGGTTCCCTGTTCCCATCTGTCCTTCTTTCCTGTCCCTTCCTGCCTCCTGAGCTTTGTTTTTGGGTAAATCTTGTCATTTTCATTTTCTATTGTTGACTGCACTGAGGAACGTGTTCCTCCCTGGTGTTATTAGCCACTTCATAGGCCTACTGTTTGGCTGAAAGTTAACAGCTGGGATCTCTTCTACTTGGCAGGAGCACATGTCAGGTGACTGTTAAATAGGCTGACTGTCCCCCTATCTAAGCCTGCCTGGGACCCTGAGTTCCAAGAAGTACCCTGCTACCTGCTATGTTGGTAGAAGGAGGTCACCTCCCCCACCTCTTCTGTGACCTGGGGCCATGATGGGCTCTGACTGAACTGGACTGAATCTTCAGGACTCCATGAGCCTCCTAGCCTGCTCCCTGTTTCCTGTCCATCACCAGGCACCATCCCAACTGGCGCCTCTCAGTGGGTGGGCTGGTCTCAAACAATTCACCTCTGGGGTTTTCCCACCTACAACCAACGTCATTCCATGACACATTAGAAAGAAGATTCTTACCATTCCTCCACTTAGGAAGTCTCTAAATGGAAGTTCTGGGCTGTTTGCTCTTTCAATTTCCTTCCTACTCCAAGGACTATTAGGGTCAATTCACATTGTGGAATTTCTGGGCCAACCCAGCAGAATGGGAGGAAATATCCCAGCAGGCCACATGCCTGGTGATTATGTTTCTCCTCCAGGGTCAAACCAAGAGGTCTCAGACTTGGAGCTGGGAGGGAGCAGAGGGGCAGCCTTGAACAGTGAATGGTTCTCTGAAAAGATCTTGGCTGCTGGAGGAAGAGAGCCCCTGAGTCAGAAACCAGCCCTCCCCTCACCAGCTGTGTGACCTGGAACAAGTAACATGCCAAGCCTCAACTTTTTACATTTTTTCTACATCTGCAAAATGGGGATAAAAATACTTACTACTTTGCAGGATTACAATGAAAAGGAAATGGGACATATAAGAAGGCTGACGTTTAATATCTGGGACCTGATATTATGATTATCTTGTTCCCATCTCCTTGAGAGAAAGAGGCAGGCTTGTCCAATGTCATGACTGGGACAGCGGTAGAGCGCCTTTTCCAGTCCCGGGCTCTTCTGCCCACCAGGTGGGAGACAATAGGTAGGAACAGATGGAAAAATCTTCTCATTCTCTGATCATTCCCTGAGTGGGCAGCACAAGGAGGACGTTGTATTGCACCGGGCAAATCTGCTGCCAGAGACCTCTTTAAAGTGCTGAAGAGCAACCCAGGGGGACCGAGTAGTTGATCCTGCGGGCCTGGGACCATAGTCGCAGGGGACATCAAGCTCAATTGGCATAACATACTATACAAAACATTGTTCCACCTCCTACTTTGGCGAGTAGCGACTG